ATGGACCTTGTACACCTCTGTCTAGACCTGGTGGAACGTACTTGCCAGCATCTTACCCCTACCTCCACGGCCATTCCTTTTCGGTTGGACCAGGTCTCTGAGCTGATCGTACTCCGCCTACGCCGTTCTCCTTTCACCTCGTCTCCCAGCTCGTCCGCCATGGGGGCCCCCAAGGGCCGCAAGGGGCAAAACTCATACTACAACAACGGCGGATGGGGAGGCAAAGGCGGCGGATACGGTAGTGGTAGCAGTAGTGGCATGGGTGGTTTCGGCATCATGCTTGGACAGTGGAGTGGCATGGTTGATAGTATTCGGGCCTTCGGAGAGAGATTGGCCGCGTCAGCAGTACCATTAGCCAAGCAGATCAAGCTGCTGCTGCGGGCAGCTCACCACCCACCACCGGTGGGCGCCAGGCCGTCCAGGACATGGCATCGACTACCCAACCTGCTCGCGATTTGGCGCTGGCGCTCGCAAGCGTGATGAACGGAGCCCAAGGATCCGACAGCAAGCTCCAACACACGATTAAGCGTCTAGCAGAAGCAGCTGGCCTCGATGAGAGCTCGCCTAATGAGTTGGAGAACAATCCTGTCATAAAACACATGCGTGCTGGGCTTGCTGCGACGCAGCAGGAGATCAAAGGCCACTCCGACCAGCTGCAGACCATCCAGACATCGACGGCGGCGACCTCCAATGACGTGAGGGCCCTGAGGAGTCTGATGGAGGGCATGTTCGCTGGTGGCGTTGGTCCCTGGGAGTGGAAGGCAAAAGGTGGCGGAAAAGGTCAGCAGCAAGCTCAGCCAGCACAACCTGCTCCAGCTCCACAGGTACATGCTGCGTCTGCTCCCGTATTCCTGCCTGACATGATTATTGCCCAACATAAGTTGGCGCTTAGCCACCTCGGTATCTCGAAGAATCGCGAGGATGTCAAGACGTACGCATCACAGTTGCCTGCCGCAGGGACGCCGTTTGTTGCTTGGTGGACGGAGATTGGCAAGAAGAAGAGTACCGACCAATGGATTCGCAAGTGCAAAAAAAAGCTTGGGCGCCACGGAGGGCCAGCTCGAAGGCAAGGACATATCAGCAATTGGAACGCTCCTTTACCAGCACCTGGACCGAGATGGGGAATGGGCTGAGTCACCACTTCAGTCAGCGCCCGTGGCTACCTGATTTCCTTCTGATTCCACGACGCACGACCATCAGGCAGGTGAGCATCGACAAGTTCCATCACACATTCATGGACTTGCGAAATCGCCAGGGCAGGCCGCCTCACCTTCGTGGTGTGAGCTTTTCTGTAATTTCTGCATGCTCCTGCTGTCTGTTCTCCCTCGCTCTGTCTCCTCTTTCTACCAGTTCTTGTTTTGTTTGTGCGCACTTCTGTGTCTATGGAGTGTGTTTCAGGCGGGCATCCTCGTGCTTGATCTCAGAATGTGGATCAGCGGTGTCGCTGCCAGCATTGGCAGAGTGTTCGAGAATATAATTCCAACAGTCGTCGGACGTTGGATTGGATCCTACTGTCTAGGCTCTCTATTCCCTACGATTAGCTTTTCGGATGCATATGCTATCGAATATGGTTTTAATGTCACAGTCGACACAGACCAGGGGTGTGGTCTAAACGTGGTTGCAGGTTTAATTGCATGGCCTTTCATGATCAGCCTGGCTGGATTCAGTTTCGTTCGGATGGCTCGGTTCGCCGTTTGCTCGATGCTCAGCGGCGGAAGACCCGCGATCCTTCATTGGTTCGCATAGCCTATAGTGCTACGAGACCTGGCCCCTCTTGAGGCCGTGGCTATCTGCGCAGTACGACGCGCCTACGCCTGGTGGCCAGCACCACGCGATGATATGTGCACATTCCCACCCAGCTTCTTATAGGGAGGCTGTGTGTGTGCTTACATCCTTTCTCAGCTTTGTTGTATTTCAATCGTCGTTGGTATTGAAGCCTGCCCGGGAGGCCAGCATCGCTGCGATCGCCAGCACCCTCACCAGCGCCGTCAACACCAGCCGCTGCCACCTTTCTTTTATGCATGTCTGTTCTTTTGGTCATTGTATGCTCTTGCCCCCTGCAGCCGCATCTCTCAGAGGAGACTATAGGTCTCGGGAGCACGGTATGCAGGCGACGCTCATATACCGTGCCCTGGTCGCCCTCTGATAAAAACGCTCGTTTATTGAACTGGCCTGTCGGCCATTCCGATCCTCTGATGTCTTGGGATTAAAGTCTTGATATCTTGGGTTTGGTCTAAGGCAGATTGGGACATGTGCTCATCGCGGTGTGTGTGTGTGTGTGTGCGTGCGTGCGTGCGTGCGTGCGTGCGCGCGTGCGCGCGTGCGTGTGCGTGTGCGTGTGCGTGTGCGTATGCGTGTGCGTGTGCGTGTGCGTGTGCGTGTGCGTGTG